GAGGAGGCGGGACGCGTGAGGCAGCGAAGCGCTGCCTCCTCGCAACCCAGCCATCGCGAAGGACACACCGGGCGTCGGGGATCGCGGGACGATCTCCGGCCACCGTAAGCGCGGGCCTGCGGACGGCGAGCATGGGTGGCTCCCCGTCCGACCAGAAACAGACCCGAGCGTACGGCGCGTCGCGTTCCGCGCGCGCCTCAAAGAGCCATCAGACCACCACAGATGGGGCCCAATAGGGCCGATGCCGATTCGGAGTCGCGGAGAACCTAACGGGTAACCGGGGCTCCGACTCGCCGTGCAGGAGAAGGAACGGGGTGGTTTTTAGTCAGTAAGAGTCTGACACTCCCTCTCGCCTCACCCAGGCGGGAGCAGAAATTCGATGATTTTCCCCCCTTAAAAAAAAAATCCCCAATAGGCCGGTAACACCCTTGTAACGCCTCTGGTGTTCCAGGAGTCCATGGGCGACACCGATTGCTTACCATTAAGTGATCCGTCTGCTCGTTTACCGGCGTATCCCATAAAAAATGATGAAACCAGAGATGGGAGACAAAAGTGATGCTAGAAAGGATTGCATGTTTATACAACGTGCAAACTGCACGGGGATTGGGGATAAAGCTTTGAGCGCCACGCGGCAATATATTTCTGGGTGAAATAACGTTCACTTTGAAATGGTTTCCAACGTCAGCTTTACGCTTATATAAAATAGTTTAGGTACTAAAATACTATAGTTTTCTGCTCTGATTTACTATTTTACTATAAACAGAATTTATTTATATCCCCGGCAAATTGACAATCAATATTCAAAATTAATTATTATGTTTTTAGCTTACTCACGTAACTGTTTGACGAAGCGTAAGCTACATTCTACCTCTATAATTTCTTGAAAAATCTCTCGAAAATGCCATAAATCTCGTTGTTATAAAATTGTTCTTAAATAAAAATGAAACATAAGCTTTGATCTATTGTTGGTTTTGTGTCAAAAATATCGTAAATCGCAATTCGGAAACAATACAAAGCCAATTTGGGAACAATGTCGGTCTACAAGCTAATTATAATAATCCACTATGTTATCACAGAAACCATGGAGTATAAATATGGAGAGTGCCCAGGTAATACCTTTATGCATGAATATAATTATGGTGTTGTATATGTACATTTTCCAAAAATAAAATAAAATGAAATCGTGACCATTATAAGTTTACTAGCTGACCGGGCAAACTTCATACCGCCTCAAAAACCTTCCTTTTCTTACCTTTTAAACCTTCCCTAGACTTCCACGAACATTTCAAAACAAAAATTAGATAAATCGGTTCAACCGTTCTCGACATATAGCGAGACTAACGAACAGATATTCATTTTTATTTATAGTATCCTTCTTCTTCTTACTGTGTTTACTTACTTACTTACTACTTACTTGTGCCACTTCATTCCTGAAGGTTGGCTGTCAACTTTTTGAATTGGTCCTTGGTCCATTGGCCAAGCGAAAAAGTTGTTGAGTTATTATGTTATTTATATAATATGTAAGTTTAATAAATAATAGACGACACATTACCAAGCGATAGATAAATAAATAATGCTTTCATTCAACTTACAAAGTCAAAGTCAAACCATTATTACAAAAACTTGCGACGTTCACTTTACAAATTTTGTTTTATTCAATACTATTCCAGTATAACATGGTACTCCATTTTCTATACTTTGTGGTAGATATTAGATACCTATTACATTAGGTACGCCCGCAGCTTCGTTCGTACCGATAGAGATTATTATCGATGGTCTATTTATGTCAAATGAGGAACCAAAATTATATGATTAAATTGAACTACGTACCTTCCATTCCTCGTAGGGATATCCATTACCTATTATACATAGGAATTTACTATTATAATAGTACCGTGGAATTGTGATTTACAGCTTCTCCCCCGTCGGTGATAGCGTTAATACGCACGGTTGGTGCGGTGGCTGGGCAACTGGCTGCCGCGCAACGTGTTGCGGGTTCGATACCCACACGGGACAACTCTTTGTGTGATCCACAAATTGTTGTTCCTGGTCTGGATGTCATGTGTATGTGAACTTGTATGTTTGTAAACGCACCCACGACACAGGAAAAAAACCTAATGTGGAGCATTGGTTTAAAAAAAATTCCGTAGCCTATATGTTGTTACTAATATTCATGCAAAATTTGAAGTAAAATCATACAGTACTTTTTGAGTTTAGCCCGGACATACATACAGACAAACAGACCAAAATCTATAAACCATATTTTTGGCTTCGGTATCGATTGTAGATCACGCTCCAAGAATTCTTTTAAAAAAATGTTTAATATACAGTTTTCACTTTTCTATGATTATATTATATGTATATGTCGTAGGATAATTTGATACTTCGAATCTTCGCGGAAATCCTAGGGGTTTTGCGAAAACGCGGATAATTAGACATAGGCGAAAAATTATAAAATCTTACTGGACAAAGTCAGGATTTTTGCGAAAATACTCGTTACTATAGTAAGATTTGATGTGCTCAACACTGATTGGCTACAATTTTGCTGGCTGACTTCTAATTGGTTCGTAGTTTGCCGATGATTAACTTCAAGTATTGTATCATAGAGTTATGAAGGTTTAGAATAGGTGAGAAAGGAAAATCACTAAATTGATTTTTATAAACTTTTTATTGAAAATTTTAGTATGTATGTTGTTTTCTACAGACAATTGGAGATCTCAGTCGTACCAATCAGAGACGATCTCTTATTGAACGCGCTGACCGACCAATCAGCGTTCTTATTTCATAACAGCCAGCGTTTCGTTTCGCAATCTTACTTAACTTCACAAGAATAAATAAAAGCTCGTCTTATATACAAATACATTTATTTAAAACATAAAACAAAGTATTATACACTTTCATACGTTGAATATAAGACGCTATTTTACTATTTATGAGCCAGCCTTTAAGCAAATAAGTCATATTTGCCTAAGTTACAACACCTGAATACAAGGCAAAACATTCGTGTCTGAAGATTACTAAAGTAACATTTCTCACTGGAATATAAATGTAATTTACTTTATATGTCAGAAACAGCACCTAGGAAACCTTTACTGTATTTACTTTGACAAAGTAATAACAAAAGAGAAGGTATTTTATTTTACGCTTTATTCCTAATGCTGGGGCCACACTAACGTTGAACGTGAACGTCCATTATCGCGATAATTATTGCAATAATTTTAACGGCATCAAAGTGGGTGGCTACACGTCAACGGTCAACGTGAATGCTCATTATTGTCGATACAAACGGCTCTATATATCATGAGTGTAAATTTATATTTAATTTTGGATCCCACAAACATGGTTCTGTTTGCAGAATCTCGATAAAAGTGATTCCTTTTCACTACTGCACTCCGTCGTCATTGTATACGTTTTTCGCAAATCCGTCGTACAAAAAACAAAAACACGTCCGATCCCGATGCGTTCTCGACGCACACTGACAATATGTAACGTAGTGTGGCCACTTCATCGCGTCAATTATCGCATTCATCTCTTCGATGTACCGCCACCTGAGCTATCGACCTGAAGTCGACCTCATCGTTCGCTTGATAAAATTGACGTCTAAAAGTGCTGCCTTGTAGCCTATTTGCAGAAATAAATTCACTTGTTTCACTTGTTTCACTTGTTTCACTTGTTTCACTTGTTTCACTTGTTTCACTTGTTTCACTTGTTTCACTTGTTTCACTTGTTTCACTTGTTTCACTTGTTTCACTTGTATCCCTAACGCCAAACGGCATTGTTAATGTCATTGTAAAATTATCGCATTGAATTGTGTCTATACCTATGGTGAACGTCCATTATTGCGATAATTAATGGCATTTCCCGTTAGTGTGGCCCCAGCATTATGAAGTAGGATATAAACGGAACGCTCCTGAAAAACGCCTACAGGTGATAATAAAAAACGAGTTTTATTTTCATAACAGTAAGGATTGAAATGTTTTATTTTATGTAATAATAGTTATATTCAACTGCACAAGGCTGATGTTGCATGAATAACACGAATTAAATTGAAAAAACAATTTCTTTTGTCAGCGTTTCGTTTTCGTCCTGCAATCAATATTCACATAATTCCGTAATATACGAAATTCTGTGAATATTTATTTTAGGTATGTACCTAAAATACAAGAGAGAAAAAATGTTCTTTGCATTATACTTCAGTATCTATAACATTAATAGAATTGGACAATTACTTAAGTAAGCTTACATTTGACCGTGACGGAAAGTTTAATTATTTTCTTCTTCTAAATTATAACATCACGCCTTTTATCCCCGAAGGGGAAGGCAGAGGTGCATATTGCGGCACCTAATGCCACTGTACAACGTAACATCCACTTTTCACTATTTATATTATGAGTCCCATGCAATAGGGGGTGAACCTATTGCCATATACCAGGCACATTTCAAGAGTCCGTACTAATACTGAGAATTTTATAAAAATACCCCAGTAATACTACCGACCCGGGGAACCGAACCCGAGACCCCTTGACCGGCAGTCGCACTTGCGACCACTCGGCCAACGAGGCGGTCATTCTAAATTATCTTTCCATTGATTTTATGAAATAAAGATTTAAATTAACTCGTCGAGTACCGGTTTTGTAGACACAATTATAAAACAATAGGTTGCGGTCACCGGTGACCGCTTGGTGTTTCACAGTTTAAAGGCAAGGATACACTATAGAACAAATGTCCCAAGAATTGTATCAGCGACATGTTGAGCGAAGCCGGCCGATGTCGCCTGACATATACGGTGACAACGCGCGACTTATGTCCACTGCGACGTTGATGTTGCCAGACATGTCGACCAAAGTCCGGTAACATCGCCCTACTTCATCCGACGTCGCTAGTGACGCGTGTCCCAGGGCATTTGTGCCCTAATGTATCCTTAGCTTAATAGACTTGAATCTTGAATAAGAACTTTACGTTCTACATGATCAAATAATAATTTCAAAAAAAAAACACGATCAATTTTAAAACGTAGTCATTCTTGCTTTTTTTATTAACTCATAATTTGATTTTTGTAAAAGTATCACAACTATAATAATAACATTATATTTTGACTTACAATAAAGAATTTTAATGTATCACAAAATTCACAACTATTCAGTAATGCTTATCTTAAAACCTATCTTTGATGCATCTTCACACAGACAGGTCCGACTGGTCTTAACACCATATCGGCGAGCAGTTTTGGCCTTTCTCCCGGGACAATGGGTGACAGCTTGAACTTACGGCAGACTCCACTCAGCATGCATTTCATTTCCAACATCGCGAATCTTTGACCTGAGAACAAAAACATAATGTAAGTATGTTGTAGCGTTATTAAAATCAAAGGTTTTAAAAGGAAATCTTATTTTTAGTTTTTTTTTTTTTATTCTAGTTTCGATATTTATCAATAGTATAGGTGCCTACTTTTCACCTGCCCCTCTACACAACTCTCTTTCTACTCTTTTCTTAATTAAAAATAATTATTTCGACTGTTCAATAAAATACAAATGTAAAAAATAATCACACTTTCATTCATTGACTTTATGACCAACTTAATTTTAATATTAATTACCAGCATTTTTTAAGGAAATAATTATGCTGTTTGACGCTAAAAAAAACGTGACGTCACAATACACAATTTCTTGCAAAATTTAAAGAAAACTGTCGTTTTTACAGTTCGAAAAAGTAATTATGTACTCTGTTTTTATATATGTATTGTCCTCTGTGTTAAATATGTGTACATAAATGAATAAATAAATAAATAATTATGACAAAACTGCAAGTAAATCTTTAAAAAAATGTGCATTGCACTAAAATCCTTAGTTATCATCCAGAAAGGACGACAAAATCCATGTAAGTAAACAAAAACAAAACCTTATACAATAAGCAATTAAAGACGTAAATAGCAGTATCCGTATCCACAATATCTACACGAGCACCGTTTATTTTCGATAGGATCGAAGGATAATTTCCAAAGCTTAGCGTTAAGATACGCAGTCGTTTTGCGGATCAAGGGTAAAATTGGTTCGCAGAGAAATGCCTACTATTTAGATAGGCCTATGGGTACACGGCAACACTTCAAGCTATGCAAAACCAGTATAACCTGACCGTCGAATCGTGCCTTTGTATGAACAAAGCTAGACCATAAAAAATTGGATTTCCGTAGCCGGGTGTACTTATATGATAGTTTGATTTGAGAGGTTGGGCCAAAACCATTCGGGGTTTAGACTCTGTATTTGCTGCAGCTATCTACGTAACTATGTTGTATTTATTTGTCGCTTCATCGAACATAATAATGTAGTTGTATTTACAGTAGATGCCCGCGTCTTCGTCCGCGTGGAATAGTAACTTTGGATGGTTCTTCGCAGCTCCTCTCCCGTAGATGATAGCGTGATAATATGTAGCCTATATGTTGACCTGGCCTGTTTGTAATATTCATGCAAAATTTGAAGTAAATCTATGCAGTGCTTTTTGAGTTAAGCTCGGAACTACATACAGACAAAAAGATAAAAATTCTAAAAACTATATTTTTAGCTTCAGTATCGATTGTAGATCAAGCCTCAAGCATTCCTTTAAAAAAATATTCAATGTACAATTTGTAATGTAATGTGTGTAGAATAGATATTGGAGTAGTTATGTATATCGTTATAAATGTCTTATATATGTAGCTGTTTTTCATTAAGGAACAGAGAAAAGTTCTCAATGAAAAGGAGGCTCCTCCGACCAGGCGAGGTGATTGTGCCTGGCGGGCTTTCTGCCTAACAGTTATTCGTTGGAATTTTCTATCTATGTAAACTTCACAAGTGCGATGTAAGATTTGCGTCGTCGATCGCCTATGAGCGTCGATAAAACTTCAATGTGTGTCACCACTGATTTTAGGTACACTGGTTTATATACTAACACAGATGCATCATTATATCATTATAAGATAAGATAGGCCATTTTTGTTTTCTTTTTATGAGAGTCTGTATACGGGCAGACGGATTACCTGATGGTAAGCAATCAGCGTCGCCCATAAACACCCGAAACACCAGAGGCGTTACAAGTGCGTTACCGGCCTTTTCGGAATTAGGAGGTTGAGGATTGTGGGGGATTCGGGGATTGGGGAGACTGGGGAAGGGGGTAATTGGGCCTCCGGTAACCTCACTCACACGACGAAACACAACGCAAGCGTTGTTTCACGTCTGTTTTCTGTGAGAGCGTGGTATCACTCCGGTCGAGCCGGACCATTCGTGCCGAAGCATGGCTCTGCCACACTTACACAAATAGACGTAAAACACTGGTAAAACCCAATAAAAAAGGGAAAACCCTGAACACATCACTTTTTGCTCGTCTGGGTTCGTTGTTGGGTCGAGGTAAAAAGTAATACCTATCAGTGGTCAGCAATAAATCTATACTTTTTGCTGTGACAAAAAATATACCAATAAAACTGAAAGAAAATAAAAACGATCTTAAATTAAGTCTCTTGCTACATTCCTAAAATGGTTTTGAGTTGAAACAACATAGAAGGAAAAATTGTGTTTATTTTTAGAATGTAGGGCATGAGCAGACGAGCTAGTTTTAATGTACAGACGAACAATTTTTTGACTGCACGTTTGTTGCGGTAGGTATGCAACCAGCTACCGTACAACGTGTAGCGGGTTCAATTCCCGCACGGAGCGACTCTTTGTGTGATCCACAAATTGTTGTTTCGGGTCTGGGTGTCATGTGTGAACTTATACGATTGTATACTCACCCACGACACAGAAGAAAATCCTAGTGTGAGGCAATGCTTTTAAAAGATTAAAAAAGAAATTGATTCGAATTTTGAATTTAAGCGCGAACGCGAATTGTATATTTTCCTGGGTTAAAAATAAATTGTTTTGATTTTTCAATCCAATTAAATAATTACAATTTCATTCATATATTTGACGATATACTTAATTTTCGATTTATCTAGCATTTTTTTTCAAATATAAGTGTGCTATTTGATTCGAAAATATGATGACGTCATAAGTTAGTTTTTGGTACAAAATTACATAGAACAGTATCGTTTTTGACGTTTCGATAAAAGTATTGAATTTGATTAGTTGTAAAATACCGTATTCATTACGTTACCACCGTTTTTCTTCTTATCGCGCTATAAAGGAGGTTTATAACACAAGAGTTGCACTTATACTTGCCCATTTAAGACCCTATTATAATGCCTGGTCCTGGTAGATTATGACTACGTATTTAGAAATTACGGTTGTAACAGTTGCATATCTATGAAGTTCAAATAACAATTGCTATAAAATGTATAGACAATACATAGTCATTTTTATAGGGCCCCCCCCCCTATAAAATGACTATGTATTGTCTAGTCATCGGGTCAGTCAGTAGGGGGAATCATCGAATGACTGCTCCCACCTGGGTGAGGCGGGAGCACTTTTTTTTTAAGGGCGAGTGTCAGACTCTTACTGACTAAAAACCAGTCCGTTCCTTCTCCTGCACGTCGAGCCGGAGCCCCGGTAACCCGTTAGATTCTCCGCGACTCCAAATCGGCATCGTGGTGGTCTGATGGCCCTTTGAGGCGCGCGCGGGACGCGACCCGCCGTACGCTCGGGTCAATTTTCATTACATAGAAATATTACATTTTTCACACTGCTATGTAGAAATTCCATAAATTAAGTACTTTTAGTAGAAACGTAGCATTTCTACGTAAACGAACAAAAGACTGAAGAGTTAAAAATATAACCAATAAAATGATATGATCGCTTATAAAAATATTTCATTAAATGTTTCATAAATACATTTTATATTTTCGTTTCAACAGATCATTTCCACGAAGTGAAACCAAGAGTTCTGGTAGGTGTTTTTTATTGTTTTTGAATCCCTGTATCAATAACAAAAGGGCGATCATTGTGAGATCATGTTGTTTACTTGTTGTTTACTTTAATAACTCGTTTTCTGGGACCTCTTTCAAAATGGAATGGGTTTTAAATATCAGAGGCCTTAGTGTACTAAGGCCTATTAACCAAACTCGTACGCATTCGGCGCTTTAATTGGTTGGTTTATTGGTGCCGTCCAATCAGAGAGCTGAACGCATTCTCGTTTCGAATACTTTAAACGTAAATCAAACTCATATTAAGGCCTCAGAAGGAAAATTTCAAAATACGAATATATTTAACTTAAAAAATAGTTTACCTTTTTTTCCTCTTCTCTCTTCCATTCTATTTTTATCATTCTACTTACTACTGCAAACCTTAACTTAGCATTTGTACTAGAGATAGCACTACAGTACTTTACTTAGCTTACCTAAGTAACTCAATCACAATCCTCGTATTCACAGACAAACAGGTACTAAATCTATAAATCTATTTCGAAGTCAATTAAAATCCTAATTTCGTCTTATTTAGGAACCGTAAATAACAACCCGAGTCACTGAAACTTACGACCTAGACTATCTGCCATTTTGTTTTAAGACGTACCTACTATTCAAGACATCACGCACACAATTAAAGACGCCCACACCAAATTGACGGCCAATTTACTTTTATACATAGAGCTTCTGAATGAAATACGTAATTTTCTGGACTTCAGATTCAATTTAATCTTTCGTGTGTCTAAACCGGGTCCATGCGAGACACAATATATTTTCTATTCTGTCTCATATGGTGCATTCAAGCGGCTAATGCAATCTACGAAATGCCTATATCCATAAAATAAGAAATATTTGACATCAGCCATTTTATTCTCGAATCACCATCATCATCAACAGCCTATAAATGCCCACTGCTGAGCAAAGCCTCTTCTCACACGGAGAAGGTTTGAGCATTAATCACCAGGCTTTCTCAATGCGGGTTGGCGATTTCAGACTTATAATTTTATTAGAAATTATAAGCCCAGTAGCTGTTACCAAATGCCATTTAGTGCTTGTCTATATGTAGAACAGAAAACGAAATTATATGTAAATTTTGACACAAAGCGGCAATGCTAAATCCGCATAACGTTTTTGACCAGTCGTTAACGTATTTGTTTTATTAACATAATTATTTTGTTTTGGTCGAAAACTGAATCCAACTGAAGATTTCTGAGTAACCAAAGTTACTACCGCCTACACGGTTCAATTTAAAATGATAGGAAGTAAATAATTGATCACGTAATTTCCTTATATTTCGAATAAAAGAAAAACTTGATTTTGTTCTTTAACGACAATTTTCTGAATGAATGTCAGGGCACGTGCAGGTTTGACAATGTTTGTTTAAAGGCTACGTGTCGAACATTCACGTTTTAACAATAAAATGTAAAAATATATTTGTTTTTATGTAACTACGTGTTCAATTTAACGTTTCATTAATTAATTTGTCTTGATTAAGTTTCTAGAAAAAGAATAATGCTTTGTCTGACTGTATTATTCTATTCTACAATGTTATTAACGTTAGTAGGCCCTAAAACACATCTAAGTAAAGTTTTATCAAAGTGGTTTAAAATGAGAATTTGTAACTTTTTTTTATAGCATAATCAGGTAAACGAGCAGACGGATCACCTGATGGTAAACAATCGGCAACGCCCATGGACACTCGAAACACCAAGGCGTTACAAGTGCGTTACCTGCCTTTTGGGAATTGGGAATTTGAGGATTGTGAAGGATTCGGGAGACGAGGACTAGGGAGGGGGGTAATTGGGCCTCCGGTAACCTCACTCACTCGACGAAACACAACGCAAGCGTTGTTTCACGTCGGTTTTCTGTGAGGCCGTGGTATCACTCCGGTCGAACTCGAGGTCTATCAGTAAGCTATTTAAGTATTCCCACATTGATACACAAACATCTACGTTATTAAACTGTCAAACACCAAGCGGTCACCGGTGACCGCAACCTATTGTTCTATAATTGTATCTATAAAGACGGTACTCGACGAGTTAAACTGAAGTACATCACTTAGAACACAATCAGAATCTCAAAAGTGAAAATGGCGAACATTAAATCCTAGAAATCCTAACGTTAATCCAGAGATTACAAGTCAAGCTGTGTAGTTTGTATTGAGCTAGTCCCAGGATGAAAGAGCTTAGTCCTGTTCTGGGAAAATAATTACCAGCCTTTAGATAATCCGCCCACAACAATCCTGAATTGAAGAGAAAATTCTAAATAATGTTCCTATTGTTTGTGCCCAAAAGTTATCTAATCTAAACACAAAAGAAAAACTGTTAGGATTCTGTTTAGAGCCTGGAAAAGAGTTTTGAATTAAACTGAAGTAAAAGTTTATTGTAACTAAAGGCTACATACATACATACCATAACATAACATAACGCCTTTTATCCCCGAAGGGGGAAGCAGAGGTGCACATTACGGCACTTAATGCCACTGGACAATGTAACACCCTCTTTTCATTATTTATGTTATGAGTCCCATGTAATAGGGGGTGAGCCTATTGCCATATACCGGGCACAATTCCAGACTTCCGTGCTACCACTGAGAATATTTTAAAAACCTGGTAATACTTTGCCCGACCCGGTAATCGAACCCGAGCCCCTTTGCACTTGCGACCACTCGGCCAACGAGGCAGTCAAATACAACTAGATATTCAAATACTACATACATATACAGATACATATATGAAACATCTTTGTATGCCTACCACGAATACAGACGATGTGAAAATAATGGGGATGATGACAGGGTATGAAAATTAAAAATATAATTAGTCCGTAACTTAGGTAATAAAAAAATATTAGACACGTATTTTTTTATTTTGTTGTATAATAAAACAATACTTAGATAAAACGAATCAAAGTTTAGGAGTGGGGGCTAAAACGTCATTTCTTAGTATAAAATGTACTGAGAAGTGACGTCACGCGACATTTCAAATCAATATATCTTCGAAACTATTCGTTGCCGTAAGAAAATAAAAAATACGTGTCTAATGTTTTTAAATAATCTACCAGACGGACATTAAAATAAAAATTAGTCGTCTACCCTATTGAGAATACAAATAACATTGATAGATTTTCTATTATTTTAACCTGTAGGAGAATTCTTTATGAGGTTTTACCTACACAGATAAATAAAATTGGAGTGTCTGTGTGAAATTTTGAGATAACTATATTTTACTACATGCATATGAATATACAAACGATACGCATACAATAATAAAGGTAAATATAAAATAATATAAAACTCAAAAACTTACTATACACAAACTTAAAATACCAGGGCTCAAATAAAATGAAATCTTGTAGAATATGTACTATATTGCACATGTACTAAGGATTAGCATAGGCTACTTTTGGAAAATTGAAACAAAACAAAGTAACGTTCTAAGATTTATATTCTACGTGGACCAAGTTGCGGGCAACAGCTAGAGGTAGTTGTATAGATGGTTTTTTAACTAACACAAGCTAAGCTGTGGGTAGAAAGACTGTTATTACTACGCAGATTAAATTTCCAAAAGCGTCAAATGATGGCTCCAATTAAACCACTATTAGACAGCCTCTGAAATTCAGGGGCATTTCAACCCTAACCCTCCGACAGTACGTAAAGCGATTGATCCAGTGCCTGACCTCTCTCATCGGATTATTTGGGTGCGGGAACAGAAAATCTACCTGGACAACCGTAGACTACATTTGTGCATAGATATCTCCTATATAGGGACTTGATATTGCTTGTCATATGTTAAATTAGTTAATACTCAACAATCTGTGAGAAATTTACTACTAACCTTGGGACATATGGAGTGATAGGGTAGGTGTATGTCGGAATACTGAAACGCTACTCAATTTTAAGTCGTGGTTAAGTCTAGTTCTGTCACTACAAATTCTTTGTGATATGACAGAGATGGCACGATATTTGAGCACGACTTAAAATTGAGTAACGTTTCAGTATTCGGGCATTAAACGAATAATTTCGAAGATATATTGATTTGAAATATCGCATACTCTAAAATGACGTAGATACCTCCCACTCCTAAACTTTGATTCGTTTTATCTACCTCTAAGTAGTGTTTTCTTATACGACAAAATAAAAATAATACGTGTCTAATATTTTTTTATTACCTAGCTTACGGACTAATTACATTTTTAATTTTCATACCCTGTCATCATCCCTATTGCTGGTCTGAACCTTCAAGACAACTCATTGGATGCTGTGTCGAACAATGATGCAAAACACTAGCAGAGGAGGATTAGCCTTTAACAGTTCTCTATTGGTAGTCAAAAAGAACTGTCCTTATAAGAAGTTCAGGTTTATCAGAAAGTGCCACTGTTTGTCTTCACCATATGTAAAGACCCTTAATCATCTGTTACGGTATCCGAAGAAAACGTAAACGTGGCCACAAATATACTTTGCAGCCACCACATAGCTTACTGACTTAATGAAGTGTTAATAAACAACTTACCTATACAATTCCGAGGTCCAGCACTAAAAGGCACAAAGGCGTAGGGATGTGTCGGTTGTTGATTGAGGAACCGTTCCGGCTTGAAAGCCTCCGGGTCTGGGTACAATTCTGGCAGACGATGCAGGTCGTATATGTGGATTGATACTTCTGTACCTTTCTTTACTAGGACATCTCCTGTAACAATAAATAGGAAATTTAGGATGATGATGTCAAATAATAATTAAAGCATCGTTCACATCAAATGCAGTATCCGGCCCAGTGTGAACATGAACTCAATCTGCAGTACGCATTCTCATCAAACCGATTATACACTATAGCAGAGATTATAGATCTTTACGTCAACATGCCATTTTTCTCAAGAAATATCTTTTGAGATCCTACATGAACCATCAACATAATTATTAATTAGTTATATTTAGTAGTTCATTGAGTAAAATTCGTGCTGAACTGGAGTCATTTGTGTAACTGAAACATCAAAGGCATTCATATCTGAAAATGAATGACGACATAGGACAGATTTTGTAATCAATGATGTGCCGAAAATATTGTATTGTACGCGTGGCAATGGTTGGTCATCCCTGCGCTATAGCGTACATTAGGCTACATGTGTGAACAAAGGAATAGGCAATCTAATACACTGTTACGTTCGGCAACGTAGTCAATCCGCGTCTGCCGTGAAGAGGTGTAGTCAATAATCGGCCACCACAGCGACAACGCGCTACCTAAGTATTAGCGAATCGTCCGTTCGATAGCGATAAACTAGGTAACGCGCGCTCACATTCAGCGGCCGACAAAACGTGTGGTATGAACGATGCCTTATAAGCTTATTATGGAAATGTTACTATGTTTGACCCTCTAAATTTTCTTGGAAGGGACAACCGACATGTATGTAATCATTACCTACATTACAATGTAATGTAAGAATCTAAATCCCTCTCTTCTCCTCCTGCACCAACCTGTGAAGGCGGGAATAGACTCTGAAGGCTTTTTTTGGTAGTGGAAAGTCATCGAAGGACTTCTCCCGCCTTGGGAGCCGAGAGTACTCCTGTTCTTAAAGTCGGCGCCCCGGTAATCCGTTAAGTCTTAGAATATTCAGTAGAAAATCAGTATTTTACATGAACCCAAACTTAAGCAATTAAAATTAAGTACCGCAAGATACTTTTAAACTTTGTGTCGACTGAAATAGAAATCGGATAACTCAATAAAACTTAGCTTGATTCAAAGTGTGAAACCACGACCAACGCGAGTTCGATGACGGCCAAATGAGAATCACTAATTCTTATTTACGTATTCTTAAATGTCACGACCAACTTTTACATCATTTGAATTTGGGCGTTGGTTTTTATGCCCAATCACTGTAGCTGCCAAAAATTAAAGGACCAATGGGTGTACACTAACTAATTCCCTATTGGATAAAAAGTCAAAATTTTCAGACTAGCCCCACTTGGTGAGCAAAAAGCCGTTGTTCCTATTGGGTAGTATTAATTGCAACAGCTATAAACAATCATGGTCATGAAAACTAAACGTGTCTATGAGCGCAATTGGTTAAAAATATCCAAGATTCAAATACGTCCATACATGTAGGTATATATAGCAAGTTAAATAAAGGATTGTAAAACGCGAGGTATATTACATGTAGTCCTAGTCCTAGTACTATCTCAATAATCGCATGAGGAAACGAACCTACACACGCCCCAACCGTCCCTGGAGACACTCCATCGTCGGAGATCGCGTGAGGATGGCGAAGCGTTCCGCGCGCACCATCAGACCACCGCAGATGAGGTCTAGCAGGTTTAATACCCGGTACGAAGCCGCGGAAGACCAAATCTATTGCTGGGGCTCCGGCTCGACGTGCAGGAGTAGGAACGGGGTGGTTTTTAGTCAGTAAGAATCTGACACTCCATCTCGCCTCACCCAAGGCGAGTGAAGACTGGATGATTTTTCCCACTTAAAAAAATGTTATCTCAAGAATAAAATTAAATTTTTTACATTAAAATAATAATGAATATTAAAAGCAAAATGGATGCCAAACAATGCCGATGGATAAAATGTAAATTGATAAACAGAAAGGGTCTTTTCAATTCTAAGTATTTATTAGTAAAGTTGTTCCAGTTCACGCACGCAAATGATTTACATTAGGTACCTATAAGTTGTGTTCGGCTTTGTAACAATAAATTTTGCAACTTCGATAACAGTTTTATGTTATCGATTTGTACCCGGTTTTGTTACTAGGTTACCACCTACTTAATTTTGTTTATGAAAAGACATAAATTCATGTTATAATATACGACTGCACGGTTGGTGCGGTGGCTGGGCAACCGGCTGCCGTGCAACGTGTCGCGGGTTCGATTCCCGCACGGAACAACACTTTGTGTGATCCACAAATTGTTGTTCCGGGTCTGGGTGTCATGAGTATGTGAACTTGTATATTTGTAAATGCACCCACGACACAGGAGAAAATCCAAAGGTGGGGCAAAGCTTAAAAAAAACATTGGATAAAAATCTATCTTCATATTTCGCTCGCCTCAAGAGCTAATTTCTTAATTAGATCAGACTTAGATTAAGTTTCAATTAGACAAGTTTAGTAGACTTTAATAATAATGTTAATATTTGAATATATAATTAGTGTTTTCATCGATATTTTTCTACAAAAAAAATAAATGAAGCTTGTCTATTATAATTTTAAAAGTAATCCGGTTTTTAATGCAAAGTAAAACTAATTAACAGTTTTCAATTATGTACGGACCAGAGTCTAAAGAGAATTCAATTTATTACGATTTACAAAGCATAGATAATAAATCCATGATTATGAAACATGATATCGAAAATATTAGCTTGTTCATTTAAAAAATGAAGTTTAATTTATCTAAGTTAATTTTAAACTATACCTGCTTCGTTGGCTGAGTGGTCGCTATTGCGACTGCCAGGCAAAGGGTCTCCGTTTCGATTCGCGTGGGTTAAAGGGTTTAAAAAAAATCTCTGCAGTAGCACGGAATTCGGAATTGCGGTATAAGGCAACAGGCTCACACACTATTACATGGGACTCATAACTTAAATCGTGAAAAGTGGGTGTGGTATTGTACAGTGGCATTAAGTGCCGTATGCCTCTGCCTACCCCTACGGGGATAAAAGGCGTGATGTTCTGTTACGTAAATTTAAACTTTTAGCTTAATCCATGGACCATTCCCCGGTGACCAGTAAAACAGAGTTCGTACGAATTTTCCGACGATACCTATAGATAAAATTTTACGATATTACTTAAATGGTTCTTATCTATAAGACGCATTAAGAGGCCCTTAAAGTTATAGTATCGCCCTCTGTAGGGGCCACTTCATGGATTACATAACCTACAAGGCAATGTAACAGAAGTTTAACTCAAAAAATACACAAGTATTTATTTATATGTAGCTAAATAATGAGATAAAGAAAAGAGAGAAATGTTTTCTGCTAGACTAGGTAACAGTATCGTATTTTTCTATTCCCGTAAGCTTACCTAGAGGTCTTAGTAAACTCTGCATTCCCCAAGGAACCAACAAGCCGAAGTTTAGCGCTTTACGACCATAGTGCGTAGCATAGATATAAATAACTAGCTACTTCCGCGCGGTTTCACTCGCTCTGCGGACTCATAACATAAATAATGAAAAGTGGGTGTTACATTGTACAGTGGCATAATGCACCTCTGCCTACTCCTTCAAGGATAAAATGCGTGATGTTATGTTATGTATATGATAAAGAATTCTATCCCAAATTCATTCATTCTAATCCCAAAAATGTTGGTACGCTTAAAATCTAGTCTAGTCCCATTTAAGGCATATATTGCCTTTTCTGCTACGACCTTGTGTCAACCATTTTGTAGTACGTCGTAAGCGCGTAATTTCAACAAACAATGTAAATCCACCCCTCGTCAACGCCACAAAATTATTATTAAAATCGAGAATTTGGAACAAAAAACGTCTTATTGCCTGTACATGGCTCCCAAAGCTTTTATATCTCCGAATGCCACGCGAATAAAACCAGTAATGTATGCAAAACCTCACGGCACGTAATTCATCATGTTTTTGCTCATCAAGAGAGATTTGAGTAATGGAAATATTACTTTCAGACCGGTGTACTCTCTTCGTTTTGTTTGAAGAGGTATGTATTATAAATAACAGGTATTGTACATAACAATGGTTGAGTATTGTCTCGAGTATCTTAGTGTATATCAAATTTCATACGATAAACAAATATGGGTGTTATTTTTACATTTTCCAAGTTTCGGTACTGAGATTAGGTTGTTGACATTCAAAGTATTAGTTCAAAAACGAAAGGTCAAAAACTACGTGATTGTCTGTTTTTGTTGAGAAATTCAGTAAATCAAAGGTGACAGCATCATTATAACATAGGCCTCCTCCTATGACTTCCAGATAGGCTGGTTGGAAACAACCTGCATCCAGCGGCTCCCTGCGACCGTACTCTGAGCCTTTTTAATGCTTGTCTACAGAGAGAGTAGAAATCAAAAATTATGGGGATGACACTAACAAGTGTCAAAATTTACGTCAATTCCATATAATTTATCTGTTCTACAAGTAGACAAGCGCTAAATGGCATTTGGCTACAGCTGCAGGTCGTCTGTCTACCTTACGGATGGACGTCCTACGCCGTGCTTCCTTTGTGACATCAGAAATGTCTAAAACTAGTCACCTTTTCATTAGTTTTATACCAGTCTAGAAGTTGCTAATGTAGATTTGCAACTGACAAAACATTTACAATAAAAAATGCTGATATATTTTTCTGTTCCCCTAACCTCCTCTTAACATTTTTTTTTATTGGGGGAAATCCTCATGGACTGCCTCCGCCTGGGGAAACGCGGAGGCAAGAAAGGGTGTGCCGGACTCTTACCGGCTAAACCCACCCCACCCCAGTCATTATCTTAAGTCTGGTAATGTGGTTACCACTATACACGCACACATAAATAACCCACTGACTGATTTTGGTACTTAAATCATTTCTAAGTGACATTAGGTATGTCCGCCTTTTTTACGTTGTCTTTGCCTTCAGATTTGACACCTGACCTTTTTGAACGACTAAGAATGTCCATAATGTCAGTTTATGTGAACGTTTCACACCATTGCTGAGCATTACGGCCCACGTTATTTATTATGTCGTATATCATAATTTAACACCAGTCACAT